CCGGGGGGGAGGGGGGGCAGGGGGTGGAGAAAGGCAGAGAAAGGAGCCTGCAGGCTCAGGGCTGGCATCGGTCCAAGGAGGGACCCTGAAGGTCCAGGCCCCTCCGTCCCATCAGCCAAGGGGCCTGGGTTGGGGGCCACGGCGGGGGCCACAGGGTTACCATGTACAGAAGGCGGTTCCTGTACTGCAGCTTGTTCCGCAGGATGCCAGTGAGGGCGCACTCCTTGCTCTGCGTCAGGGGCCACACCTCCAGGTCCTGGTTCCCCAAGGCCATGCCAAGGAGGATGCCGAGATCTGTGGACCGTGCCCAACAGGAACACATGAGCCGCCTGCCCGCTGCCACACTGCCCAGCCCTCCCGCTTCCCGGTCAGCAGTCCCCGTGGGCGAGGCAGGAGCCATCCAGCCTGTCTGCTCCTGGCCGGAAGCCAGCCCCTGAGGCTAGTCTCGCCTCCTCCCCACAAGGCAGGCACCCCTCCCTGCCCGGCCACCTCAGCACCGCCTGCAGTGGGGACATGTTTCCAAAGCCTGTTGCTGCCTTTTCCACCTGGGGGTTCAGGAGACGTCGGTTCCAGTTCCAACTCCAGAAATGACTCTTGGTGACAGCAACCATTTTCCTCCTGCCTACCTGACCCTGGCGTCCATCTCGGGTAGATGCACCAGTGGGACTGTAGGGGCCCACCTGGTTTGCTCACTCTGGATGCTAAGCGAACCTCACTCAGGTGGTTCACACTCCCTGCCAACCAATGAGCTGCCGCCTTCTGGATGTTACCAGCCTTTACCACTGGGGGTCGCTGTGACTTCAAAAATAGCCTGTGTGATTTCCTGTAACTGAGCCGACTTACCAAAAATCTCTAGGAGGATTTGCAAAAATATATATATATATATATGAACATCAGTACATCAATCAGAGCAGAAAGAACAAAATATAAATGGATAAGAGACATGTCCAAAAAAATCAACCTCACTCATAAAGATAAGGACATTCAGGCCCTAGCAGGTTTGGCTCAGTGGATAGAGCAGCGGCCTGTGGACTGGAGGGTCCCAGGTTAGATTCCAGTCAAGGGCACATGCCAGGGTTGTGGGCTCAATCCCCAATGGCGGGTGTGCAGGAGGCAGCCGATCAGTGATTCTCTGTCATCGTTGATGCTTTGATCTCTCTCTCTCTCTTCCTTTCTGAAATCAATAAAAATATTTTTTTTAAAAAAAAAGGTAAGGACATCCACATTAAAATAATCACATTTCACCTATCAAAATGGAAAATGGTTTTGTTTGTTTAATTTATTTTAATAGCCGTTGGTGCTGGCAAAAGTAGTAAGGCAGATACTCATCCTGGAGAGCAATTTAGCAACTTTTGTTATTAATGGAATTAATAATGTCCACACCCTTTGACATGTTAAATTCATTTCTAGGAAGAAACCCAAAAGAAAACAAAAAAGAGAGCTGTAAACCAAAAGATTTACAGACAAAGACTTCCACGGCAGCATTATTTCATAACAGTGACCTGAATGTTTAATAACACTTAATGTAGCCAATAAAAGTCACATGGTGAAAGAATGCTTTCTGACATGTTTATGTGGTAAGAAACGTGCTCAGGATATGCTGGGGGGAGTTTTCTTTAAAGCATGACCCAATACGCTATCTGAGCCTATAATTCAAGTATGACTTGAATTCTGTTCATTACACGTCTGCCTGCATAGCAAGTGTGGTGGGAAGAACTGTCCCAAATTACGTTCTTTATGCTCTACAGGATATAGTTTAGATTCTACCGTCAGTGGCTATTATTGTTATAGTCAGAAGCAATCTTTTTGTGTTTTTTTTTCTTTTTCTTTTTTTTCTCCAAAAATCAGCCAGGCGGGCTGAGTCCTCTCCTGGACCCACCCTGGTTATGAGGAGGCGGCGTTACTGACGGACATTCCCCACTCACCTTCCTGGTCGTTAGGAAGACCGGTCCCTAAACTCTGCTAGCCTGGGCCTGCTCACCGTCACCTCCCTGCGTCCTCATCCCGCTGCCAGACCTCTGCTCCTGCTGGGCCCCTCACCAGGAGCGCCCTCAGGTCCACTCCAACCCTGTGCCCCACAAGGGCTACAGCCCCCCAGTCCACAGCCCTTCCTCTCGAGGAACCCTGACAACCACATTTGTCACAAGGCTGCACGTTTGCCACCCGTCCTACGCTCCCTCGCTCTCTTGCTTTCTCTTCCCAGGTGCCCAAACCAGTATTTGGACAAAGGAACCAGATCAACACAAACAGAACCAGCTTGCTTCCGGCCTTGCCTCTAAGTCCTTGACCTTGACCTCAGCTTGGCATCCCCGCAGGTCAAGGCCATTCCTGCCTCAGGTTTTGCTCACACTTGGTCGCTGCCCTGGGTATCCTCTCACACTGCAGACCATCGCCCTGACCGTTGCCCTCCCCGGGGTCTTCCCTGCCTCCACCAGCCCCCACCAATCCTGGTCTCTAGCACCATCTGTCCATTCACTTAGGATCGTCACCAGACAACTTATCCCCTAATATGTAAACACATGACTTGGTAACCACAACCCGGGCTTGTTTGGGGTTCCCCTCGAGCAGGGGAAGGGTAGCAGACAGGGCCCCACCCGAGGGTCTGACTCAGCAGGTCAGGGTGGGGCCCGAGACCTGGCATTTCTAACAGCGCCCAGGTGACCGTCTGGGGACCACGCGTTGAGAACCGCTGACCTAGAGCGGCAGGTGCAAACTGGTGTCCCAAGGGCCACGTCTGGTTCACAGAGATTTCACCGAAAAACCTGGATTCCCATCTCTTCTTTAAAAGTCAGCATCTGTCCACACTGGGTCTTCTTCCCCAGGTGGCGGTCACCACTGGCTGTTCTCCCCACCCCACGTCCTGCCCCAGCTGCCCCCAGCTGTGTCCGGGTCCAGAGCCTCCGGCACCTGGCCAGTGTGGGCTCATAGTCGGGACCGAGTCTCAGCGTGCCAGCGCCTCCCAGCCTGGCACCCGGGGCTGCGCCAGAACCCTGTCCACAGGGGCTCGGCCCCCCCAGGCGGCCTTCCTCCAAGTCGGCTGTCCATTTCCAATTTTAAGCTTCTTTTCTGCTGCCTCCACCCCGGAAACAGGCCAGTAAACAGGTGCCCAGGCAGGGACAGCACCCCGAGAGCCCCACAGCCGGGCACACCTGGTCCCGGTTGAGAGACCCGCCTTGCCCGCCCCTCCAGAGGTACCAGGCCCAGGCCGGAAAGACGGAGAGGAGGCTGGAGAAAGGGCAGCGTGAGGAGGGGCCCCTCCCCCTTGCCATTGTTCCCGGGGTGGGGGCTGCACCTCTCCCCCAGGCAGCCAGCCCATTGGTGCATAAATAGGGTGTGTCCACCACCATGTGCAGGGGAGCATACAGCACCCCAAAAATGTTCTATTTACTCAGAACCTCAGGTGCAAGCTTATTTGGAAACAGAATCTGCAGATGTGATGAAGGCCGACCCTAAATGAAGTGGGGGAGGGGCGCACAGAGGAAAAGGCCATGTGAAGGCAGGGGCTGGGGTGACGCTGTCACCAGCCAAGGAACCCCAGAAGCCACCAGCGGGGGGAAGAGGCAGGGAGGATCCTCCCCGGAGCCCTCAGGGGGAAAGTGGCCCGGCCACACCTTGATTTCAGGCTTCAGACTTCTGGCCACTGGCCTCTGGCCCGGAGACAGAACGAGTTTCTGCTGCTTTAAGCCCAGCCCCTCTGCAGGCCCCGTCTGCATCCCGCCATGTGCCTCCCCAGCCTCGTCCCCTATGCCACGCCCTCCCATCCTCACTCCCGTCTCTGGAACTGGTCTCATCACTTCCTGTCCAGGAGTTTGCAACAGCAGCTCCTGCAAGTACCATCAGGTTCCTCTTCCAAAAGCAGAGGACCTTATCACGGCCCCACCGCCAGGCCGGGCCATGAGCCTCCAGCAGCCCCTGCCCTCACGAACCAGCTCTCCATCCCGCCTCTCGCCGCCCACCGAGCCTCTGCCACGCGGGTCCCTCTCCCCGGCCACCTGCCTGGACACTGCCCACCGCCCAGACAGTTCAAGCGGCTTCTCGCCCAGGCGGCTCCGCCTGCCCCTCACGGCCTGGAAACGTCCAGAACACGCGGTCTCTGTCCCCCCACTGTTCTAAGAGCTCTGACCCTTTGCAAGATCCTTCCACAAGGGCCAGATGGGACCCAGCTCCTCTGCCAGCTCCTCGAAGGGTCAAGTCCCCACCTCGTCCATGCCGCACACAGCTCCGGGGCCGACCCGTGCGGGCGCATGGAGGCACCGGAAACACGTGCTGAGTTTGACTCACTCACACTGATGCTCAGAGTCTGCAGGGATCCTGGCCGGGCCCCCCGCCAGCAGCTCGAGAGGTTTCTAGGCCCTTTCTTTCTGTCCTCATTTCAACTTATTTTTCCTCAACAAACTGCTCTCCCTCCGCCTTTTAATTCTGTTCCTCACGGAGAAACCAGCTGCCTGCTGAGGCACGGGCCGCACGTCTCCCACATGTCTGGGGGACCAGGCACTGTCACCAGCCCCCGCCGCCTGCTGGCCACACCCAGGGCAGCTAGAAACCCGCTCTCGGCCACCTCGGTCCCCGTGGCACTCCTAGCACCGCGAGTCTGGGAAGGTACTGCTGCCACCGAACCCCAGGCCTGCGCCCCGGCAGCCACTGCGGACGGATGCCCACCCAGCACATGACTCACACCCGCCGGGCGCCTGGGCTGGGTCAGCGGGAGATGGGTGGAGGGCATCTGGGGAGCCCTGAGGGCACTGCACTAGGCTGGGAAGCATCTTAACTTCTCACCAGCAAGACCAGGCCCAGTTGCCATGGTTACGGCAGAGCCTGGTTCTGGGCCAAGA